AGCTGCTTCCGTTAGAGGGCGATGGGACAAATCGAATTTGCAAAGAGCCTACTAAGGTCAGTGAAAGATGTAGCGTAGCGGGCAACTGAAGTCCTTGCTATCCAGAAGGGAGGGTAGGGCACAACCGTGCACTGTTGTACGTGCAGATGCAGATATAGTAAATTTTACGACCTCCCCCCTCCCCCACTTTGAGAGGGTATCAGTACGACCCCTGTATCGGATGCCTATGTTTTTTTTCTTTTACATGTTTCATGTTCATCAACGATGTAAAAGAAAAAAATGAATGAATCGACATGGTGGTGGTTAGTGGAAAGTTACGTCCCACGCATTATCTTGCTCAGAGGACGGGAAGGGAGGCGGCACGAAGTTTTCCTCATAATGTAAGCATCTTCCAACATTTTGTGCAAACCTGGTTACGCTTATACTCACAAAAAATTCTACGTCCAGAAACATAGTATCAAGTTTTTATCAAACTCCCAAATCTCTCTTGAAAACTAAACCTTACAGTAGTTCCGAACCTCTTCGTCTAGTAGTCTTATAACTTCCTTCACTAGCGTTCTCATAGGACAGCACACAAAAATTTAAATCATTCAAGTCGTTTTCTTCTAAATAGCCTGTCGCAAGTGTTCAATTTTTCCAAAAATCGCCCCGTTGTTTCTTTTTTGTGCACATGAGAATTCTCAACATTTAAATGTTTATAACTTCCTCCACATTCACTTTTTGTAGATCTCTAAGGCAAATTAAAAACTAGAAGGTGAGCGTTTTACAGGAGCACTAGATGTTTGTTCGAACATTACCTCTTTAAAAATAGCCCCGTTTTTCTTTTTCTCAGGGGTTCGTGGTTTGGTTTTCCAGAACGCGTTTTTGACATTCAAACATTACCTTCATTATCAGCTCCAAGCTCTCTGCTTAGAAACTAGAGAATTTGGCCTGTCGAAAAAATTTGAAACGTTTTGGGAAGGACCACTGTTCAAGAAAGCATTCCCGTTGTTCTGTTCTTACCCTCCAATGGCTTTTTAGGCCAATTTCCTAAAATGTGAGATTTCAACCTTCAAAAGCCGAAAAGCTTCTTCAAAGTTACTATAATGAGAAGCGTTTAACCCTTTCGGCCCTGCCGGTGGCAATTGCCACCATGAAGTTCAAAGCTCTACCTTACCGGTGCAGTAGCATAATTTTACTACCCACTGCTGAAGATTACTTCGGACAACCTTCCCCTTCCCAATTATGCGTTGAACCCACCACTTCATTGTGTGTTGCTGTTAGTATTACATGTTAGCTCGCCGGTCGAGTGTTCGCGGGAGGAGAAGGCAGGCAATGCAAAAATTTGAAGTAATAATGAGAAAATTCCTGACTTACCCTTCATATCATTACATAGTGTTTTCGATGAGTTTTCGAATGATATAACTTTTGGGAGGTTTCCTTTCAATGAAAAAATGCGAAAATTCCCCGAAATTGACAGCTGGTGGCAGAGAGCAACTTGAAAAACTTACTATCAGCAGAGTAGGTTAATTAGAAGAGGTGCTCTATACAACTAATGGCCAGTCTCCTTATTTTTCGCTTCAAAGATGCAACTTCGTTCCAAAAATGGATTTGAATGAAGTTGACTTAAATAGGGAATATCAGGTATCAAAATGATCAGCATCACCTGAAGAACACGTTAGTCACTTTTTTCATACTATTCCAAAACAAAAAAGAAGCGAAAAGGCTTGCTGAATACTAGTGGAAGCTGTTTGTCTCTGACTGTAATTATAGCGAGCGACGCTCGCTAATGAGTAGCCTCAGGTACTTTGGAATAGAAAAATGAAATTTTCTGAAATGTGAGAGGACATTCTAATAGCACTCGACGAGCTGAGTCTAATGGTATAGTTTTTCATGTCGAAAAGCGATCAGAAATCAAATTATAGCAAAAAAAACGAAAAAGACGCGGATCCGCGTCTTCCGCGTCTTTTTTAACAGAGTTATGGGAGGTACTGTATTTGTGTACAAGTTAAACAACGAATGGAACCTGGTCAACGCAACCTGCCAGAGAAGTGTCAATCATTCATAAAATACTTTACATATATTCAATTTCTTATCAAAACGTAGTTTCCACATAAGGTAAGGAACTAAGAAGCTGTGCCAAATTTCAAACCTTCCTAGCTTCTTAGTTTGTGATCGAATAGCTTCTAAATTTCGCTATAATGATATTTATGACCTCACAGTTAATAAACAGTAGTTACAAGAAAAATTTCACCACGAAAAAAAAATTCAGGCCTGAAAGGGTTTAAACCATTAATATTTATAAGATCATTTCTTTACGCCGTATGCTAGATTCTCCTGAAGAGCTTCAAAATGGAAACCTTTCCTATGATCGCCTTCTCTTTTGTGCCACGCGGGACTTGAACGTTCTAATGGATTTTCGGAAGAACTTGTAACTTAGACCGCAACGCAAGGCTTACCAAGGCAAGGCTTAACAGCCCTATCTGACTCAGCTCACGGTCTTTTACGCGCTGATGTGCAGGAATTTGCGAGCTGGTGGAGCTGATAAGCGCAAAAGCAACAACATGTAGGGAAATTGCATTATATATATATTTGTATATTTGTATATTTGTATATTTGTACAGTTTATATTTATTATATATTTGTTATTGTTATATTGTTATATATTATATATTTGTATAGCAATGACTCACACATAATGATCTTTTATTGATTAAATGAACGTTTGAAGTTGAATAATAAGACATTGCGAATCTATGAGTAGTCGACAAAAATAGATTGTCTTGTCTTAAGTAAATGGTTGGTCAGGTGAGAAATAAAAGAAAACAGCCGAAGCCGTGGGAATCTTTCGAAGACGTGCCTTAAAAAACTATGAAGTACATCAAGTAATTACTGCTAGAAGAGACACATTTCAGTAAACACTTCACGAAAAAAAAATCCGAGTGGACAAGGCTACGTGAGAGGCACATGGAGCCATGAGAAACAACCCTCCGAGAAACAAATTAGGCCTACGTACTATTTTGAAGTTCTTATCTGTTTACCCTCTTCTGCCTGAAAATCAATCACTTCGCAAAAAACCATGCCAGAATATCGAGAAAGCCCGAGTTTTGAGGGAAACACAAAAAATTCACTGACCAAGAAAATCCTCCGACCACAGGACGAAGTGTAATGGGCTAAGGATTTTTTTTTCCAGAAATTCGGAAACCGTAGAGGACAGGAAGTTTTAGTGAGCTAATTAATTTGCCGCCACCATCCAGATAAAGCAGTATGGAGCAAGGAATATCCAGAACAACACACACCCCTTGTCACCTGCAAGTTGCGTAGAACACTTTGATCAGTGCGCCCTTCGCAGCTCCCCGATTTTCTGTTTTCCAGACGTGGCTGTTACGCTAGAAGACAAGCTTTATATGAGAATATAAAGTCGGCTATATGTAGAGAACAGTCCCACCACAGAATTTATCTGTGCTTATGATCGGGATTCCTACCATTACGGTAGGAATGTCTTAAAAACTCTTCATACACTGCTAATGAAGGGCCTAAACAGACTGGCCGTGTCCGCAGATCAAAATTGCGAGCATGAACTCGAAGATATCCCAGCAGAAAAAGAAAACAAAACGTAGAAATGTCGCTTATTTCCAAGACGTCAAACTTATGGCAGTGCTTGTTTCTAACCGTTAGGGTGATACGAATGGAGCGAAGTTTTCAGGGCAGCTCCGCGCAATCTAAATTGTGTTGCGACGTCATATCCTGCTTCATATTTGCCACACGTAAAGGTTAACGGCAATTGCCTCATGTTCAAGCGCTATTGAGTTTTTCATGTGACCGCCTTTGAGGCCGATTTTCCTCGGTGTTACTACAAGAAGTATAAGATTGTATGTTCACATACCGTTTTATTATAAACAAATACATGAAGAGGAACAGAAACAGAACATGGCATAACATGCAAGATGGTGCAATCAGTGCAACTATATCACATTATGCACATTAGAAATCAGCGACCTAGGCACTACACATGCAATGACGCGCGGCGACATTCTCAGGCATCTACAACACAAGCACCAGTGGATCAAAACGGCGCTATAATCATAATACAGTTTATGAATAGTGACGATAATAAGTAGAAAGTAAGCGTGATTAACCCTCTTTGCAACCCAGAATGAATAATAACACGGTTGAACCTAAGCCAATGATGGTGTTAATGATTGACTGATAAGTGCTTGTTTATCGATAGATTAAACATGAACACCGTCTCCTGCGGCTAGGCCATTCACAGTTGCAGGCTCACAGTGCACACGGCGGTCGCCTCCAAGAAGAACTGATGTCACGTATTTTTCAAAACTCTTGATGCTCTGATGCCACATGTGCTGCTGTGTCTGCAATTGCGACGCCTGGCAGCGGAAAACAAAGTGTATTTCAGTGAGGACCATTGTAACTACCGGGAAAATATACAAACATGAACAATCGATAAATTACAGTAATGATGATTCGGCGCGGATCTTTGCGATCAGAGATTGTCTGCTCTCGAACTTCAGTTGAACGCACTCCAAAACCTTTTGCATCAATAAGAAAACTGGAACCACTACTGGTTGAGGTCTAGAAACCCAACACATGTTAGACCGCCTCACAATCCCCTTGTGGTTCACTGCTTTCGTATACCCTTTCTCATTCGCAAGCTAGCAAAGAGATAAAAGTCGCTCAAAAATTATGATCTAGAGGGAATCGCACTAGAAACCGATATAAAAAAAAATCACAGAGATTCAAAGGACCACACGCACTCTATGTGAAGCCTCGATACAATTACTGCTTACAATGGAAGGAAACCGATAATTGAAGGCATTGTAACGCATCAGATTGAGCCTAGTTACAGTAACCTCGCAACAGGAAACAACCAATTGATTGCCTAATTTCGCCAAATCAAGGCGTGCTGATAAGGAAACAACATCGATGGCATATATATGAGAAAAGAGGATGAAAGGAAAAACAAGTCATGCATAATAAAGACAAAGTTACCGTTAGCCTTATTAATTGTTTCTATGGGAAGCAGCACCACTATGCGGAATTTTAGGCTTTTGCCAAAACTGGTCCTGTATCGTGAAACCATCGATGGTCGCACCGAGATGCTTTGTGGGAATCTGTGAAAAATTCTTCGCACCCGAATCATACCTAGAAAAAATAGCGAGATTATTCAAAGATATCATCACCATACAATGTTTCCTCCACCTCCACTTCATTGTTAATGACAGCAAGACTCGGCAGGCACTGACCGTAGCGATTTCATTCTATGTAATCTTTCTATGTGAAGCAGCCGTCAAAAGTTTGGAACTTTCTTTTTCCCCATCAATATTATTCCTACTCTTCAAGTTTGTATGTTTTTCTTAATATATTATTTAATTTGGCCATGGGTATTATGTGCTTGTACATGGGTTCTACCTTGTAGTAGTGTACGAGCTTGAGGCGGCATCGGAATATCCTTCGGGATAGGGCTGCGCCGAAAGCCCATACCGATTCCCCGTGACTAAAGAACCCAAAGTGCCCAAGCCCTTGGTGGGACGGCGCTCTCCTTGAGCCACGGGAACGCCCTGGTAAGGCTATCCCGTGGGACGAAAATACCACGACCACTTCTTATAACTGCCTTAGTCCCCTGCAGGCTGTCCCTGCCCAGTCCGGTAGCGCTGGATCACAAACAGCCGAAGGCGAGGAAATCTCAGGGCCGTAGGCTACCAAAGGAGACGGACAAGAGCGAGCCAACTGATTGCCTGTACCTACAACTGCCGTAGCATCAGCTCGGCCGCTCAGCTTTCTACACTTATCGATGAAGCTCGACGGATCAAATACCATATTATCGGCCTCAGTGAAACAAAGCGGAAGGAGCCCTTGTCCTGCACGTGGACCGATGGGACGTCAGTATTCCTAGAAGGCCGCAAGTATAACTCAACATCAGGAGGCGTTGGCTTCATAGTGTCACCGGAGTTTTCCAAACATGTGCGAAGTGTAAGGTTCCATAGTCATCGGCTCGCCGTGCCAACCGCTTCGCTCTCGAGGGACATACAGATAGCGGTGGTGCAAGTCTATGCGCCTATAGCAGACAGTGATGAAGAGGAGCACGATAACTTCTATGAGCAACTGGAAGAACTCATTCGCAGTCAACGCAACTACGTCGTGATAATGGGCGACTTCAACGCTCGTGTTGGATCAAGGAGAGCCGGGGAGGTCTTCATCGGTCCACATTCAGCCGAAGATCGTAACGAAGCTGGGCAGAGACTAGCGAATTTTTGCGAACTCCATCATTTCTATCACGGCAATAGTCAGTTCATCAAATCGCCGAAAAGAAGATGGACTCACGTAACCCCGAATGGGCAGTATTGTCATGAGTTGGCTCACTCTATCACGAAATCATGACAGATGTTGCAGTGGTGCCTTCGTTCAACACGGTAGCGATCACCGTCTACTCCGAGGACGATTCCATTTCGACGCGCAGCCTAGTGCGCCTGATGCGCATACGCCTAAGACATTCCACACCTACCGTGCTAGACATAGACGCTGTTCTCAAGGCTTGCAACGAAGAACACTTTGAATGGTTGGTGACGTCACACCGATTACGATAAGCCTCGTGCACCTGTAACAAGACTTGAAGAAGCTGTCGCCGAACTGCTCCGAATCATAATGCTCGTCGTATCACTGCAGCTACTCGCGCTCTTCTCGGAGAAACGCAGGCACATGGACAGACAAAGACACCACTTGGAGTACACTCTACCTCAGCCGGTTGTGTAGAAAACGGATTGCTGAAACCATCGCCACTTCATAAGGTCAAGACTCCTAGACGAGGCGGAAAACAGACGGAGCCTGAAGAGAACCAGAAAGGGATTGCCGAACACCGCTTGAGATTCCGTGCCTCAAGCTCCAGACGGATCCCGTTGCTCCTCGATACAAGAAAAGGAGCAAATTCTGGCAACATATTACACAGCCCCTGTTCAAGTCAGACCATCCCCGTCATTCGAATGGATGCGCCGAGCAACCGATGACGTTTTTGCCCTTTCATCACATCGAAAGTGCGCCATGCGGTGAAACGATGCCCGCAAAACCAAGCGCGCCTGGAAGAGACGGCCATTCACTATAGAGCTTCTCGAGCATCGCGTCTGCCTTTATATCGAGCCCTTGCTAAGTAGGTTTACGCGTTAATGTAGCTGAATGTTGCTTCGTTCCAAGGGCGTGGTAAGCAGTCATCGACCAGTGTTACTGTTTCAAGAAAGGCGATCAACGAAAGACCCTGCGCAACACTATCGTCCCATCACTCTGGCTGCTCCGTATTCTTACACCAGTGTTACGCGTTGCATATTGGCCGCGTATGCCGACGAGACATTGAAGAGCGTCAGCCAATAGGCAGACAGGCTTTCGCTCGCCAATTTCCGGCCACGCTCGACAATCTTATGACCTGTCGCGCCGCCTTATCGAAGCTATCGGCGCGAGGCATCAACTGCCTCTGGTCGATGCCAATTCATTGCTACAAGAAGCCGTTTGATTCATGGAACCAACGAAGGTATGAGGGCGCCTGGAACACCAAGCGTCGAAAAGGTTGTACGTGGATGTGACTGGCGTGAATGCTACACGGAATGTTCTAACATGTTTCGGCCTCTTTCTAACATGACGTTGTTCGTTGCAGTTGAGAAAGGCGTGCCGACACGGTGATCCTATATCCTCACGCCTACTGCCGCTGCCTGTCGGAACCCGTCCGTGATATCCCGCTGCAACTGGAGCACCAAGGAATCAACGTCGACGGCATGCGTTTGAATCACCTCCGATTGCCGATGACATCGTCTTGATTACGGATTCGCCCAGAGCATCGCCTCTGAGATGCTAAAGTCTTCTGGACGCGAAGGAAGTCAGTGTGGTCTCGGTATCACCACCTCCAAACGAAGTCATGCGCGGAATGCATTCTCAGCTAGCGCCGCCTGTACTCTAAAAGAGTCTCAATCGAAGACGTTGAGGATACCATCTCCTTGGATCCGGAGAGCTAGCGAGACGTCGTAGGCTGGATTGGCCGCCTTTAACTCATAAGAGGGGTACCCCCAGGAGGCCCGTCGCGCGGCAAGCAAGGCGAAGTCAGCGGACGAGTCCGCGTGCGTACTATAAGGGTTTCGCTGTCAAGTCAAATGAGTGTCCCACTGCACGTCCTACCACCGCACACGCACGCGCTGCACTGTCGCTCGACTCTGCCTTCTTGGCGCGCGAAGGGCCTCTTGGGTCCCGGGCATAGAGAAGGTTGCAGAGGATACCAAGGATCGGAAGCTCGGCCGACTGTTCAATTCGTCAGTGTTACCTGCCTCTATCTACGCTGGAAAGCCTGGTCCTTAGACAAAAATCGTGCTAGACAAAGAGGCTTCAATCCGCTCAGACATCAATTGAACGTCGTCTGATAGGCCTAATTCGCTGAGCCGTCAACGAGAACTGAGCCCTGCACAATTCTGACGTCAGAGCTATGTCGAAGATTAAGACGTTTTGGTTCACGTCAACGAAGCGAAGGCATCCGATTTGCTGGCATTTGGATCAGAAGAAACGATGGAGTTGGAGCTCGAAGATGCTCAATGGTATCCGCGCGGAAAGACTACGCCACTTGCCGCCCTCCTTTACGTTGGTCAGACTCTTTGGCATACAGAAACAACGTTATGATCCTGTGTCCCTTAACGTGTGCCGTAACCCTGGACAACGAACGCCAAGACGCGAGCAATGGAAAAGAAGGTGGACCCGCGCAAGGCCCAACCGCTGTGCTGATCAACGGGTCGTCTAAGTACTAAGTAAGTAAGTAATAAGTATGGGTATTATGTAATTTTCGAATGGATCAAAAAGGAATTACCGAACGCTTCACAAGTTTGTCCCCAAAGTCCATACAAAAAATTCTTTCTCAGCAGTTCTGACAAAACGCTTGCTAGCGAGACTCTAGACCGCTATCCGACACTCAAAAACACGTTGAGAAAACATCTAGACCACAGAAAGGGCTTCATAAGAGTTTTGGCTTCAGAATCCACGAAAAGAAGGGGCTTTCCGGTTTCCTCCCTAGTTGAATGAAAATCGCAGTGTTTTCCCAATATTGGCCGAGATCCGTCGAAAGATTATGGTAGGTAACATAACAAAAACATGCGGACTACTCCAGAGAAGACAGGAACCAGTGCTGCTGGCACGCCTATCGCTAGCTGGACCAAGACGAGAGGTAAAACAACTATGCTTCCAAGAACAGTTGAGATCGGACCTCCCGAAAACGATGTTGTTATGAACTTATTATACACACGGCCGCTATTCAGATGTTAGATTAGTGTAATCACGTGCATCATATCATCTATATAGGCGAAGCGGTGTCATGAATGAGGATGTGTCAAAGCATTCAGCGGTCCATATTTCAATGTGCAGCAAATGTGGACTGGAAAAAGAATAAGGATATTCTGTAAAATAGAACTAATTCTTTTGCTCGTCAGAACATGCAAAAAAAAAGAGTTTTATCGTTACAATGATCCAATGAAGGCTCCCCCAAATTACCTCCTTGAACTCAAAATCATCATTATGAAGCGAATAAATCAAGATTCGAACGAGAACTCAGCTGTGCCCCTCAGGAAAGAGCTCACATGCCTTACCATCCACATTTCAAGGAAGAACTCAAAATTTTAGGGAAGAACTCCTACGTTTTTCTCCTGAAGGTAGGCTTCGACTTCAGAAATCAGGACTGTTCTAAGTTCCTGGCAATGAAAAACGATCCACCGTCAGATTGGCCTTTTTTGAACCATCCTTCCCAACTGTGATTTTTGATTTTAGGAATTATATTGTACGCTGTAGTGTATAATCGATTGCGTATCTAGCCTGTAATTTTGAGGCATTTTGTTGTTTATTAGCCGCATCAGATCAAAATTAAAAGATTTCCAGACTCTTGACCGTGACTTTGAGTATAAAGCAAAGTGCAGTTGTTTGACTGTCAGTTGGTATTTGTAACCAGCAAGTTGGTCACGACGTAGAGTTATGAAAGTAGTTGAAACATGGTCTACCTAGACAGGGGAATTATCCTTAGGGCATACGGTAGTAATAGGGACATGCACAATAATATAATAATAGGGATGGAGCTTCGTCATATGGGCGGATCGGAGGATGAAATCCCTACTTTGAGAGTCAAATACGCTACTTTGAACTCTGGAGAAACCATGTAAGCTGGTGAGGGGAGAGGGGACCACTCGAACGAGTTAGGGCAAGATCAAGACTAAACAGTCACAGAAGTCTTTAGTAACACGGTCTACCACAGAATACCGCATGAGTATCAGTCTCTACACAGAGGGCTCGCAAAGGTTTACGAATTACAGTAATCATTGAGTAGTGACGTAGAAGTGGAAATTTGGTAGGGAGTTGCCTTTACGATCGACACGGATGGTTTTTGCGTGGATTACTGGGAATGGGTAATCAACTGCTCCTGTGAGTGGAAGGTGAAAATCGAAAGTCACGAAGGGCCGAAAATAGCAGGTCTGGAGAGGAAGCCCAACACAGGATTGGATCACATTATATCGGATTTTATCGGATTACAATATGTTCATGCTACTCTCGCCAATGTTGCGTATGACCACTGCCTGCCTTTAATAGAGATAGACGAGATCTTCTGTACTGTCTCTAATAAGTACTGAAGCCGTACTGTTCGAGGCATAATCACCACTACATTTGCGACTTCCTCTTACTAGATTCAACAAGAAAGGCCTGTTAAAATACGTATAGCGCTGAAGGAGCCGACGAGGAAATAATTTCGAAAGAGCAACTACAGCCTTGAGCTTAAGCAATTCAGACAGCGTTCCAAGTGCTTCTTGAAGTCGCTTTATTTGCAGGCTGGCGTGGACTTGCACTAGGTAAGCAGTGATCCCAGGCAGGCATAGTTCTACCAATTCAATCGAGAATATTCTGAAATATCGATATCGGGAACGGAGATCACTTCTAAGTCAACCTAATTTCCGGTGATGGCCTTAAAACAGGACGGAAATGGGAACTGCTGATGTTCAGATAGCATGCGCGAAAAGTGTTGTGTCCACAAAATACAGCGTTTACCTGTAGATTTACTGAGAACTTGCCTATCAAGATGTTTTCAAAAAATCTACAGATATAAAATTTGCTACATATACAACAACGACTTCGCACATCATACCGAATTTTCAACTTGAAAATAGAAATTTTCTGATCCCCACGCGCTATGGTCGATCCCACCTAATCACACCGACCCCATGTTTTTCTGTTGTTTTTGACTTTTGTTCAATGAAACTGTTTTGCAGCTCACTCTTGCCTTTTACGAGTGACGACAAGACTAAAGTCGCTGTCAGACTTCGAAGACAAATTTTCTCGAAAATCAAAGATAGTTTCCAAGAAGTCTAACTGCAAGGAATTCAAGCCAAATTTGTGCGGCAGTTAGCAATTTTAAAAGAATTCTGCAGAATATTGAAGCAGAAAGAGCATCGAGTGTCCTTTCGCTGTCTAAGATAAGCGTCGTGTAAGCAGAAGCATTCAACTGAACCAAATCGTGCTCTAATCGAATAGTTTCTTGAGAATAAACATCTCTAAAGACCATTGCCTGGCATATGTGCATGATTTGGAAGCTCATACTTCGACAACATGTATGCAAGGTATTGTAGTAGAAAGAAACTGAAGTTGCTGCAATTTTCTGCCTGTGTACTATATTCGTTGTTTTTCAGCCCTTCCCTTCCTTTTTTTTCTTCACAATAGTTTTTGCGATGATAAAGAAATTGAGAGAAACAAGATACTAAGAATAAGAATTCGAGAACTGCGAAAAAAGAATACTTACTTGAACATCAACTTCATAATACTCTCAGTGCACTTGGATGGACCCTGCCCCGATATCTTGATAGCCGTATCTGATACCTGAAAGTCTTGAATACATACTGAATCATCCAAAATCAAATTTTTACAGGAAAACGCTATTCGCCTTGAGTTACTGGGGAATGGTGCAGGTGAAGGGGTTTTGTAATGAAATTCTTTCACTATGAACATTGCACTGCACATCATCACGCAGGGTATTAGTCGCATTAGAAATTAAAAAAAAACTATGGAAAAACTTTTCCTAAGACAAATACCGCCAAGCATATAACTGGAATGACGGCCAAAAATACTCTAGGATACTAAAAAGCACGCTGTCCACATACATACCTGGTCCCAACTGTAAAGGCCTCTGTATTGGCACTTGTAGTCACGGAACAGCACTAGAAAATGTTTCGCATCTGACGCGGCCAAGTCGTTCATCGTCTGAAAGCAATGCAATCAATACGACGTTTGAAAACTGTGACTGAAGAAAACTGAAGGAATAGAAACCTTCATTCTTGTCGTATCGTTGACAGCCCCAGGAAAAACGCTATACTGTAACGCGTTGATGATCAATCCACGATTTGACTTAGGTGTAGCTCTTGCAAACAATTTATGCGCTAAAACGTAAAGATTTCCTAACGATTTGGCAAGCCCTCTTCGGATTAATTGAACCGAAAGGCTAACAGAAAGCGAAGTAGAAAATTCTTGAAATAGACTCACTTGGCTCCTGAAGACTTTGTACAGAGATTCGCTGTTCTACAGTGGACTGTCCACGAGCACGAGGAAGACGGCCTTTGTCGTTCCCCTCAGCACCTAGTGCTGATTCAGACATCTGAACAAAACAAATTCATGGAAGAAAGTCAAGCAGCTCGAGATGCGCAGAACTATAACACAGGGTGGGGTATAAATATGGTGACAGAGTAACTGTGGCCAAGGACTAACCAGAAAAGTCAAAACGGGAGGACCAAGCACAGCAACGTATGAGCACTACTTTCGAACATTTGTTAACATTTATTATTCGAAATGACACTTATGAATTTGCCTTCAAACTTTTCGCAGAAAATGTGCCTTGCCCACATGACACCTTCAAAACCTCATATACTTTGAAGAGCAACTATTAGCGATCCATTCAAACTGGGTTATTTAGCACACTTCTTCAGCTTCAATATGGACCATAATAATAATCCGCTACTTCCAAATCGGAGGTTTTGGCTGGCCAATCTTTGTGCAGCCCAACGGCCCTGCAGAAGACTTTCACAAAATAATCCATAGGTCGTCCATCGCCCTGCTAGTTAATCCAATCGTATGGGTGAAGAAGAAGACGGAAGCTCTCTCGAAAATACCATCTTGGATAGCAACTGACTCAAGATGCTGCTCCCACAGAGGCGAAAATCAAATGAGATGAGAGATCGCGGTTACTCAGGTTCAGTTCATCGCTGAGTTAGGAGGGTGTATTTGATTTCCGTTGATTCTGTAATGCTAGTTTCTTCTAAACTCCAGCAACTTACTTTGAGTTTTCTCGAATGAAGGCATGACTGTCCGTGAAAAAAATATTGAAAGTTTTCTCGTAGGCATACATAAGCCTTCCTTCGCGAACCCCGCCATAAGCCCACGATATTTCTATCTCTGCCTTTCTTCTCTCTACCCGAGAAACCTGTCGTTTATTGTATTTATAACTTGTATTGCAAGTTTCTACGCAGAACTCTTCGCACCGTTCATCCCAATAATCTCGCTTGTAGCCAATTTTGTCATGATACTCATTAAAATGAGGTGCATGCGCTTTTGACAACACTCAGAGCCACCCTTTTAGCTTCTACAACCGATCGACCCTCTATGAGAAGGACTATTAAGTGTACTGCAATAAAGAGTCGTACGCTGGCTGATGATGGATTCTCTGAATACAAGGACCTCGGAAAGAACCCATCTGGCAGCGCGTGAGACTAAAAAATCCTACTCGTTCCGGTTGAGTGAAGCCATTCACCAAGTAAAGATCATGAAAGCAATTCAAAGAATATATTAAAGGCAATGGTGAATCTAACGGTCTAGTCTTGAGCTCTTGTGTAACAATGTTTAGTAAATTCATTTTCTGTAGTTCAATCTTGTCACCATATTTATGCCCACCCTGTAATTACGGCAAACCAATTAAATCAAGGAAAACACTGATCTTTCAAGAACCTCATAAATGGTACCTGTGATTTGGTTCGAATAAACGGTGGTTGAGAATGGCCGCGACCAGAACCCCGAGCAGAATTCGAGCCTGATTCCAAACCTAGCTCTTTTTCCATTTTTCGTCGCTTATAGTCGTCCAGAATTTTCTGCCTGCAACAGAAACTTGAAGCTCAGTTGCAAAGAAACCGACCCATCAAAGCTACGACAGATTCGTCACCGACCGCTGAAGCTCCTTCTCCAACTTCCGCTGCTCGGCCATTTCACGTTTGGCCAATTCAGCCATTCGTTTTTCGGCATTCCTTTGCTCGATTTGATCTACCTGAACAAAAGTGTAATGAAGACAGATACTTGATGAGCACCCACAGAAGCAAGAAATCATGCCAACTGCCGACAGCAAATGAAAAAAATCATAATGAAGTTGATATTCAGCAGCTCGCCTTATTCTCAATTTCTTCCTTGCGTTTCATGGTTTTGGCTAAAAGAGCAGCACGCTTAGCTTGTCGACGTTGTTCGGCCTGAAATAACAGTTAGCAGGGGCACGAAGTAAATGGACAAATGAATAATCCAGGTATTTCAAATAGAACATTGATAGCATCCAATTGGTCGCAATGGACGTGGGAGACAGAGCGATTCTTTCTAAAAACTCCAGTTGTGCGGGGCCTGCGTACATCTGTTGCCATGAGATGAGACATCGCTGATGGCGCGGCAACGCAGCAGATACTAAAGCACCATCATGGCTACACGGGTGGGACATGCACCAAAGTGGGAGGAGCTGCCACAAAACAATATAACATGGCTCCAAGAGTGCTTAGAGATCGAGGAAAAAGTGGGTAGATGTTAGCAAAAGAAGGGAAGTATGGGGAGTTCATCACGATGCACGAAAATTGACCGATAGTCCTGTTTTATGCGAAGTGTGAGCTGCACGCGAAGCGCACAGCCGCACTGCACTGCTAATAAATAAATACATGATTAAAATGAGGACATAGCAAGGCGATGAAAGTCTTATGTGGCCACTCCTCATGAAAACCCTAGTCACAGTAACGTGTCGCGCTTGACGAATCGACGAGCTTAGAGATAGCCAATCTGAACAACAAAAAGGCTAAGCAACTCACAATTTTATCAAAATCCTCAGCTGCTTGATCATCGCTCACAACGAAGGCAGGACCGGAAGGTGCCGCACTCCTGAATACATGCATTTCGGACGTTCCTTCCGTATATGGGAGAAAATGCGAGGGCAATTACATTACATCACTACATACCTGTTCGACTCTGAAGTGATTCCATTGGTATTATTAGCTGGATCACGAGGAGGTGATGGTTGCGACAGGGTCGACGCATGATCTGGATCTGAAACTATGAGATCGCCATTTACAATGCAATTGAGTGTATAACATCGAGGAAAATATCATAGCGAGATCGCGATCACCTTGTACTCGCCCACGATCTCCCGAAGCTTGTTCAGAAACAGTCGCGCTCGTGACGTCATATGACTCACGAGAATCCCGCGAGCGTCGCGGGACTGCGCCAATTGGACATGGGGACTGTCGCTGAACTTGTTCCTTAATGAATCGGAATCACACTCGAAGTATAGACAGCCAAAAAGAAAAAAACTCACATCCTCACTGGGTACGGTTGGCACAAGATCTGGCTGATTGACAAGATCGTGCTCGCTCTTTATGAACGTCTGGTTCTCCCATGTTCTACGCTGTGGACGACCCGTATGTCCCTAGAAGAACTCCATAGTAGCTCGCGACAAAAGGGACGTGGGTAGAAGTGATCGTAACTAGGGAGGTATATAACATGGGATGTACGTTTAGATGCTGATATCGAATCTGTTTCGAATGCAGTTTGGAGCAAAGTAATGCAGTGAAAATGATTAATAGGGTTCACAGTCTAGAAGTCGTGGGTTCAACTCTTTGCCGAGTTTACCCCTTTGTTTTCTTTCAGTAACAAAACAGTAACCTGTCTAAAAATACTTTTGTCAATGTTATTTCATCAGTTCTTGCCTACAGTCACCTATATAGAAAATAAGGGAGCAGTTACTGACAACTTTTGGCATTATTTGCTAATAAGTGCGGTCGAAACCAGCCTACAAACAGTGGCTGTGAAGTGCCTGAAGACGACGCGACCCTTCACGGACGCACTGATATTGGTGCGCATGGACTGCAATGAAAACATTCTCGACTCATGCCTTGGGCGCCTAACTGCCCTAAACCACCAAACTTAGATACCGAGGCTCTCAGGCAGCAAACAAAATATAACATGTGAAGAGCTGTAATACTTTCCGAGCAGGATGTGATTGAGAGCAGGCAGGAACCCAAAGAAATTGAAAATTACTCACGCACGCCGGAGCACCCCTCCCCACTCCTAGGACTCAGTCCAGTGTATAAGAAAAAAAACGACATTTGACACGGTTTTAATGGCTTTGCCGTCGTAAGGCTCCTTTATCCTGCGATAGCGATTTGTTTTGCTAAGCTCACTTAGCTTAAAACCGAAGAGGGAGTGGAGATCACCGAAATTGTTAACTAGATACGCGATAAGAAAAACACAAAGCTTTGAAAGAGTAACGGATTCCGGCATGTTCCGTTTCGTTTGCTGTTTAGAAGCAGTGGCAAAAAATTTAACATGTTCCGCTAGCGAGTACTGACGTGTACTTTGAAACCAGTACTTACGCGATCCCATACTGCTAGATCAATTAAAATATTTAGTCTCGTGATCTAATGTCTTGTTAGGTCAAAATTTCAGATGACAAAAACCTCACCCCCCCCCCTTTTTGTTCTCAGAAAGTATTTCGATACGCCTTGCCAATGCGGTATGAACACTGGCGCGCACAAACCTGCTCTAGACCAAATGAGTTGGGGAAAACCTCAAGGTGAATGATCCCAAACTAATGAATTAGTAGATCAAGATAGAGGATTGATGAAAAACCAAGATGAACTACTGCAAAATGATCATTCATAATAAGAACAAAAAAAGGAAACCCTTTAGAAACTTTCACTCGAGCTCGCAAGCCCACCATTATAACCGTTATCGAACTAATTCCGTTCATGGGCTGCCACTGCTGAAACAGCCTCTTGAGTGTGTTAAAAAATGTAGAAGACAAAGCCTTGACAAATTTGCTTGCAATTTATTAGCACATTCAAGGTAGCCCCCAAAACCAATTGATGGTATACGACTCATTAATTATGGCCATTTCGACCTGAGATCCTCTCCTTGTCAGTACAAAAAAGCAAAAATGCAAGCTAGAATTCAATAATCGTCACAATTCACTAGTAAGGTGCATTTTCGGTGCACACATATTGAAAAGCGACTTAAATTGATCGGCCATTTTCAAAGCAGACCTACCGTAAAATGTGCTAATGAATAGTTTGATAAGCATCGCCTCAATGTATCCACTCCTCAACTAAACCCTATCGTAAGCGGGCATCTCCTTCAAGAGAATTAACTACTTTACTGGTGAGACCTCAAAATTTTATTCATTAACAATGCAAAAATGTTAGCACTACCTTCTGATATGTCATGCCCCAATTGGTGAGATTCCTGTTGATTTCCAGAGGAGGATCGACACGACTAGATGATGCCTGAAACTATAAAGGAAATTATGTACATTCAGAATAACAAAATAGCACATGGTAAAATCTCAGCAAAAGTTCTATGAGTTCCCATCTACATTTTCATGGGTGAACAGAATTATGGCCTCCTAGCGACTTCTCTAAACTGAATAAGTTCAAGAAAGTCCAGCGCAGAAGAAAGCTACCAGAGAAATACCCATAAAAAACCTCAACGGAAACCCAAGAAACCTGAGGCTAACACAGTTGACGGAGGGACAAGCGGAGGAGCAACGCTCTCACAGCCTGCGCTCTTTCACCGAAAACGCGCAGATGGCTCGAATCAAGATGGCGCTCAGTTTTGGAAACAAGCCCTAAAAAGGAGGGACGCAGGGAAGCGAAATCAATCTTTGGTTTTCTCTGAGTTCCTCCACCAAACTAGGTTTTATGGAGGCTATCACCATCGACTAATGCGTGGCCAATCGAATACAAGAGTAGCGCCGTTCCCGCCAAGAGAAAGCAGACGCGCTGCTCCCTCCTTCCCCTCCCAACTGCGTTAGCACGATAACCAGAGTTCTCAAAATTATCTCGCGCTTTTGATGGCTTACGTACATGGCCACGACAAGGAACAGACCCAGCACGTGCACAACGAGCGGAAGATCGTAGATTGACCTTTCGATTGTGTCTATTAGCTTAAGAGGTAAGCCGCGGGATTTGATAATTGAACATGCGTTGAATGGGCGAACAACTTCGGCAGCTAAACAAGCGTTTGACATAAAGCAGGTTGCTCTGCGACCTCGTGCTCAATGTCCACGCGGTGCGCCCGCGATATGGTTTCCAAAAAACAACCCTTACTCATGCAAGAAAAGATATTACAAAGACAAAAAGGAAACATATTCACATCTTGGCTATGTAGTCGAAATGTCGCTCCACCGTCCTGAGATTCGTAGCCGAGTGGTGGTTGATTTTCGAGCTGAGGCGTACCCTGATACGATGAATAAGCTTGAGCATGTTGCTGCTGTTGTGACATCATAGTCGGAATCAGCTGAGGAGGTTGAGACTGCAGTGCATAGGAAGGCGAAGTGTTGTGCGTGTCAAGCGGCTGCTGCGGATAAGCCGAAGAATACGTTGACGCCGGTGGCGCCATCATTGGCGCTGCTCCTACCGGCTGATGAAGCGAAAAGCCGGTAGCTGCGTGCGCGGACTGATGCATCTGCACAAACAGGTCAAGCTCATACATAACCAAAATCCAAAAACAGAAGAAAAAGACTGTCAAATGCAAAACACTCACCATTGTGTAGCCTGGCTGTTGTTGTGATTGTTGTGCATATGAGTGCATGTGTGGGGAGTACATGTCTTGAGTATATGCCGGCTGCCCAGACATTTGTGGGGGTTGCACTAGACCAGTGGGGTATTCACCATACGATGGCATTTGGCCCGGAAGATAGTTTAACATGCCATTTGAAAGGCTTGAACGCAGCTGTAATTGGAGTTTTAAAACTGAAAATCATACTTTTCCTGGCAAATCTACCCCCCCCCTCCCGTTTAAACTTTCCATCGTTATGTAAGACATAAATCACAAACTGCGCAATTGTTTGCAAGCCCACACAATTGTAGGTGGAGAATTTCGGTTGTACAAACACAGAGCTAAGCTAGGCAGCCCAGCTGCAGGTATACCTTGCCATATGAAGGCAACTATACACGATTCCTCAACCTATGGATATACTATGAAGATTACGGAAGCATTAGTTTGCAAACACAACACACTGCCCCTAGCAATATGTTTCTAGAAATGACTCGAAAGAAAATCTTGTGGGTGCTCAAAAGAAATGGTCCGATAACGTGGTGCCGTTTCCAATTACCTGCCCACTCAAAAATAAAAAGTTTGAAAAAATGTTTTTAGCAACCACTTCACTGAGTGACAATCAATAGATGTGTGATACTGAGCCACGATTGCAAAACCACACGCTCACATAAGGCCGAAAATAGAGTCCGCGATCCAGTACCGCAGATTTCGCGCGATTCGCGCGACGAGTTACAGAAATCACAAGTGCCCAAAAATCTAAAAGATGCTCTCCAATCTCGCCGCCATTTCTGTTTGATAGTGATGCCTGAATGAAGGCAATCCATGATTATTCATTTGTTTCATGTTCAGTGTTTCGAATATTGAAATAGGGCACTTGCGAATTTTGCGAACCGCGCTAAACCTTCGACGGACCGCGCTCTGACATTAACCTAAGAGGAGAACTGAACTCCATCTACGCTAAGAGATAGAATTCGTTGCAGCACAGCACTACGCTTACCACAGCAACGATCTTGCTACGCTATCTAACAGTAGCACACACAACAGAGAATCCGCAGTTGCTAGAGAGGAAATTCTGAATGCCGTAGCAATAATCTACTGGGATGGCAATCATTGAAAGTATAAGATGGGAAAAAATGAAAACAATTGCGACAATCACCTGAAAAATTGTAGCAGAGAGAAGAAACAATACGACTGATTTAAGATATATTCACCTGCTGTGGTTGCCCATAAGGTCCTTGTTGTGGTTGTGTATAACCATAGTAATCTTGTTGCTGCTGTTGATGAGCATATTGTTGGCCGTAATTTGGTGCAGTTTGCGTACTGTGAGGCAAAGTTCCATATCCACCTCTAGCTGACTGAGGAGGGGCTGGTGGAACTTCTACAATACGCTAGCTTGAAACTTATGACATTAACAAAGCTTAAAATGAGCGATTGAAAAGAAAAAGCTGAATACCTTGGTAGACACTCGGTTGTGACAATGCGCGACTGATACGCTGCTGGTCTGGGCCAATATGCATGAGGGACACTTGCTGGGCGAGATCCGTCAACTTGCGATCCAACTCGCGAATGAGTTTGGCATTTGGTGAATCAGTACCAGCCGTGTTCTTAAAAAGTCGCTTATATAACCCGATTACTCCGAACAATTAGTAAAAAACAAAGCAACCTAGACTCACCGATGGTTCACCTCTGTTCATCACTGCGAAGAAAGCCGCTTTTCCTTTCTCAGCACGTTCTGACTCAGTCATTGTGCTGAAATCGCCAGTTCATCGATATTCCAGGCAGTAGAAGAAAAGGAATCAAAATCGGTTTCCACCTCATCAGCGCCTTGCGTTTTTCATGATCACGGCGTTTTTCCTCGAGCGCGAGCCTGATTGAGGCTGCCGGTAGCGAATCACTCCTTGCGTACGGTGAACATCCCGTTGTGGACAAGTTGCCGTTACTACCGTCATCAGGCTGAACAAATACCCTCATTCGCTAATCACATGAAGATTCCTAGGCAAAAGAGAAAAAGGAAAAAAAGAGGGCAGTAGGAGCTACCTGAACAAGTCGACCAAAATTGGTCACGTTCGCACCCCAATAGTCCGGCGGTTGGCGCTGTGGTGGCACTCGCCACGAATCCTGCGTCCTTAACATTAGTAAATCAATTGTGCACATCATCGGTACTGACGAAAATTAATTACCTGTTTGTGAGCAGACTATCCTGACTCATCATACTGATCGAACGAGATGGGACAGCGACCGGAGCTCCAGCTGGAGTTGACGTCACGTGCACATTGCTGAACGGATTCCTGACTCTTGGTGGATAGGGGCTGCGAGCCGCTGAGTTTGCAGCGCGCAGATCCGGAATGCCCTGCACGGGAACGAATCGCCGAGGTGATGTGACAGGTTCGGGTTGTGCCACAACTGGAGGAGTCAATAGGAAATTATTGATCGATAACAATAATAATTTACAGAAACTTTTGAGGAAAGGCACACAAAGGTTGAGGTTCTCGACAGTAACGTTTATGAACAGGATTTTCTTGCAGGGTGCACAAGAAGCTTTGGCTGGAATATTCAAAGGACTCGTTCAATAATCGTGCCAGATACAGTTCCCGCCAGTACTCCTCGACGAAGTTCCAGATACAATTAGTACCCACCATTTACTTACTCATGCATTCTCTTTCCGTAGAACTGTTGCATCTCAAAAGTTTCCACACAAGTTGGCCTTTCCCAACGATGCCACTATCTGCCCGTCTGTCTGTCAAAGCAGTGTTCGCTATTAAATCCACAACAAGTCCCCGCCGTATGAGGTGCTCTTCTATCTGGAACACTTTGTCCTGAAGACGTCCAATGAATAACAATCGCGATGATCAATGACTTTTTAGAAAACATGGTAAATATCGTCCGCAACTGAAGAATTTGTAGCATTTCAACTTCACCCTTCTCCCCCCCCCCCTACACACAACACACAACACACACACAAGGGGAAGTTTGCATCGATACCATGAAACATCCTAAACATCCTAAATTACTTCACTGCTCAAGACGACCTCCACTACGAATTTCAACAAAAAGCGGACTTAATACAATAGATTTACGAATTTGTTTGGTGGAGCTTTTATTAATGGCCCAACGTTTCTACTGAATCGTCGTCTTCAGAAGCCGTCGGTTCCACCCTTTGGGCGGGAAGGTCCGCTACCACACAGAGCGCTAGTCAGTTCAGTATCAGTCAGTCAGTCAGATGGCACGGGAAGATTAGCAGCCATGTCATGGGCAACTGATTCTGTATACCTTTCCTCAAAAATTTTGGCGTATTGAAAAATTTGTACCTGCAAACCCACCAGTTGGAGCAGGTTCGAAAATCTCAAATAAATCAGCGAGAAAAACGTTGATATTCATTTGCAGTGAATCATGAAGATAAAGAATATCTTCAATTTCGAAGTGAAAAGGATTCCACGGGAGGCAATTAAGACAAAACCGCCTGAAATCACAGAACGTCACGAAAGCCTGAAGCGTACAAAGAACTCCTCGAATACAGAAATAATCTCAATAAAAACAACCCAAAATACAAGAAAAGGTGATTGGAGACGTGCAAAATTGTATATAAAAAGGAATAAAAAATAGTAAGAAAATGAGAATACACTTATGAATAAAGCGAGCATTCACTTCAATCCCTAAAGAGGATATTCTAAGGAAGGATCTCTAGGCAGGACAGTCAAACAGCATTATCCACACTTTAACGTTGAGGCTTTATAAATCAAAACAACAGCCACTTCACTACCTCTTTAGCACACACAATCTGCCCCATTTATTTGATGGAAACAGTACGCTGAGTTCTTTTGAAACCATTAACTACATTTCGATTTTCAGATATATTCAAATTCAACTGATTTTATAATTAAGACATAAAAAGATCCAAAATTTGTGGTGCTCACTGTACATTGCTGGATAAATTTAGAAGCATGAGTGCGAAATATTTGTCTTCTATAAGTAAGTTAGAATTCAGTTAGTGGCCTGATAGTCACCAGCCCTGGAAGATTTCGGCGAGCTATCAAGTGAAACCTAGGGAAGAACATGCTTCATGTGGCCAAAATGGATACTAATCAACCACTAAAACCCAAAAATGTCAACTTTTATTTTTTGTTTTCATCGAGAAACTGCTCATAAGAGTAATTCGATGTACTGCCACAAAATGACATTCATTTTTGGCCGGCGCCAGTTGGCGCCACTTCACCACGACGGCTGTTTCCACCAGATTCGGTGTAAACTTTTGTGTACGGTGTACTGTTACAAATACGACATTCGTTTTTAGCATAAGCGCTGTTCAACGCAGATTTTGGGTTCTTCTGAACCCTCTCACTTATAGTACGTGAACTAACAATAACTTTAAGCAGTGGAGAATCCCACAGTGGGCACACCACGCACAGTGTGGCAAAAGTTGAAGTAAGTGATAGCACGAGCTCTCCTCTCCCAAGGCTAGCCCTTCTGTCGATGTTATCAGCGGAAGGGCGCAGACCAGTATAAACCGGGCACCAAATGAGGTCAGCGCCAAAAATGAATGTTACATTCGCCTGGACTCCAAATAAGCTCAATGTACAGGTATACAACGAGCTTGGTGGAAAGCACCGTCCAAATAATGTGTCGCTAACTAGCGCCAAACGGCACCAGTAACAGAAATGAGTGTCATTTGTAATCAAGGCATCGAGTTACTCCTATAGGCAATGTTTCGACGGAAAATAAAATTATACATTTTGGGGTTGTGATAGTTGATCAGTGCTCAAAAATGTGATCTCTCAAGTTCTCATGCATTTTATCTCGATAAACTTACATAGCATCAAACATGAGACAGAGATAGTTCAACTGTACTAACACGATAACACATGAAATACATCAACTTTGAAGGAAAATAATGAGCCTGTGAAAGTATCAAAATTAGAATACTCACTGTAAAAGAAGCAAATTGTAGTGGCAATGTGCTGTGCTCATTTGATCGTTATAACAGATATCTGCAAACCGAAATTATTTTGGAAATATTAGTGAAGAGTTTGGAGAGGTGATCGTAAGCATTGCTAAACAGCCCACTCCACTTCCTCCATCTGACTCAATCCTATCAGAATTTGGAAGGGAACCAAAAAACCTTCCACCCTTACGGCGTCACGACTCGCAGTGCGAGTTGTGGTTCACTAGGACAGAAAGCGACTTTTTCTAATTCGCAGCGCGAAACATTTTTCGCTGTGGGAACCTCTGGTCCACCTACGATCATGAACGGACCTCTTTCGCGGAATGTTTTTCGCTCCAGCAGCGAGAAATATTTCGCGCTGCAAACGCGAAAAAGACGCTTTCGTCCTGATGAACCAGACCACTCAGTGCGCATGCGTGGCTTAGCTAAGTGGCCAGTAGAAACGAATCCAATGCCTGAGTCTCACCTTCGATTTCCATTTCTCCATGTCCATGTCGATACCACGCAACTAAGGTGCAGAGACACTGCCCATCACTGATCTCATCATAAAGGTCTTCCATTTCGGGTATCATCCCACCTTCGGAAGCTCCTTCAAGATATGCGGGTTTATTTTCAGATGAGAAAATGGAAGTACATCACCTCACTGTAATCGCTGCTTCACCAACCTTTCAATTGGATTTGTGCCCGTTCAACGTCATCTCTCACGAGGAGACAAACCTTATTTATCCAAAAGAGCAGCGCGTCGACCGAATCCATTGGTCGCTCGCTCTCGTCGACGGTCGTATGGCGGCTGCAACCACAGAAATTACACACCATCATACAACGAATATAAAGACCTGGTTGTCATCTACTGCGGAATAGCGGAGCATAGCAATCGTCTTGCTCGCGCGAAGGACAGAAATAAGATAAGAATAAGAAGATAAGATAAATTAGGCGCCATCTGGGAATGAAAGTGGAGGTGCTAAGAGGTGCGACAGCGATGAAAGAAATAAATGGAAATGCCTAAACCCGCAGAGCGGGCACTTGATTTTCCGTTGATTGCGCGTTGTGCAAGCGTGCTAAATGCAGTGCTGACATCGTCAACATGAACGTTGCGTTCTGATTTCCTGCTCAAACTACTCGCATCCGACGGCGAGGGACCAGCAACTGGAATAGCCAATCGGTCGGCGTGTGCGGCCGCGAAAGAAAATTCTCTGCGCGGACAAGACCCCGTCAGGTCGCTACAGACGCACCCTTTGTAGCAAACGCCTCGTCCCGCTCCCTCAAGGGACCTGCCTCCCTTTATAGCAGAAGTGCTTCTCCCTCACCCACCTTCAAGTTATCGCATCATCTGCCTTTAAGCGCTCACATGCGAGGCGGGAAGGTTAGGAAATACTACCAAATTAATGGTCACCCCAGAGCTTCTGCTGTTTCAGCCTTGAATTCTGCGCTCCTGCCCCTTTTTATAAGGTGAGCCGAAATTATATGTCGCTTGTTTGAGCTTGTGACCTTTCCAATTTTGCTAATTTTTTTATTGTTTTAATGTCAGATTGTCATTTTGAACTAACATTCTCCCCAGCATTTTTACAGTAGTAGAGTAGAGTATGGCGCACTGTGGAAGCTTTTACCGCGCGCAAAACAGAAAGCTATTTCAAAACAGTTTCCTGCGCTAGTTTTCGCGGTCGGCCAGCTCTTGTTCGGGACTCAGACCTTAAAAGCGGATTCATGGCACGGCAAAATGTTCCAGCAGTCGGACCGTACCTCCTCTATCCCATGCTTTACTGATTCGCTGACTAGGTTCAGCAACGTGCGGTTGTTTATAAATGTACCCAAAATGCTGGAGAGATTGTTCGCTCTTTGTATGATATCAAAAACCAAACATAATAAACAACGAAAAACGATACCAAAAAAACGGGAATGATCTCGGTGAATCATGTACTACTTTTTTAAATGGAGTACAACCCTTGGATGACTTGAAAAAAAACAAACCTTCACTGCATCGATGACACGATCAACAGTAATCACATTACGAAGAGGCGCCAGCATTTAATGCGTCCATCATAGCCAGATGAGCAGGCTAAAACCAATTCAGTATCTAGAAGTGCCTTAAATCCGCAAAGTAACCAATACCCACCGTATTGAAGGATCAGACGCAAAAGCTCAGCGTTTCAGTAACCCGAGGACGTTCCACCGTCAACACATTGCAAGCAGACGTCGACTCCATAATCAGTTAGTGCGGCTAGGACGGCTCATGTGATGTAAAGAAAAAAATATCAGATAAATTCCATGATTGGCTCACGGAGTTGCCTGAATTAATGCATGAACTTTCACAAATTTTTTCCACAGCAAAAAAGACATGCTATCTGTTCATAAATCCAGTTCATGAGAAAAGAGATGGTGGGTGTATTTGAAGTTACCTGGGACTGCATCTTCATAGCCCCCCAAGTGACGCCAGATTAAGTCAAGATTTCAAAGAGTGGTGAGGGAGCTTCAAAAAATGAGTTATTGTCGAAGTTTTATTTAAGCCAGTTACATATTCTATTAATGGAAAATATCGCAGCGTTCATATTTCTTATTCTCCAAACATATTCATTGCTCTATTCCAGAAGTGGTCTTCAACTATTCGACGAGCTTTTCTGCTCTACGATGGCCGTGTTCTGCAGATTTCTTTGATAGCCTGATTACTTCCGATGTAATTCTGGAAATGAAAACACCCAAGAGCTGAAAAAACATTTTGGAGATCTGATGTTGGTTGTAATTTACATAGAAGCAAAAGCTGCCGAGCGCGACCCGAAACATTCGCGTTGTGGCATGTTTGAAACGTCTTGGGCGAATCAGTTGTAATAGTTGCCAGCCAACTTGATTAAGAAGTGAACATGCTTTTTTTTGGCAGAACGAAGGATCCTGCGCTGAGAAATACTCAAATATTACGGAAAATAGACAAAAAAATTTGCATGGGTGGATCGCGTTTGCATGAATTAAGCTTTGCAATCAAAAAGCTAAATCATGCTACTCCACGAGAATTTCGCGTCCATACAAAGATTGAGGTTTTGGTCCGCATTTTCAGCACTAATATTAGTACAATGAAAAAGCTTTGAAATTCCCTATCTCTCAATAGGTGCTTCCAAATATTACATGGATTAAGGCACTTCGTATTGTAAGAATAAGTTTACCGTTCGTTTGGATACACAATATAATTGGGGAGAATATTATGGAGAAAAGGCAAAAAGACTGTTCTCCGTCCTCATATATCCATTACATTCCCAAAGATGTTCTTCGGTTAACAATAATATTGTGGTGAGAAAGAAATTAAGGGGTCCGCGAGTTATTCAGTTCACATTCTGGTCAGCGTCACATTCCTCCAAGTTCAGCCAACTTCCACATAGGCTAGAACTGTCACCTCGTATTACACACAGCCCTGCGCGTTCGGAATCCCCTTTGAAACAGGTGAGCCAGATCGCGGTGTAGATCTAGCGTAGACTTTTGGTAAGGAAAAAAAAGAGAAACGTTGCCGTTACAAGGTTGCGGTTCTTGAATATCTTTCGGCCGCTGCTTGACAGTACAGTGACCCATTGTTAAGCCAGCTAAGTATGGCGACTGTCCGGCTTGCAAGTGGCCTGAAAAGGAGTTATGAAATTTCAATTCAAAAACTTATCTCGATCAAATCCAACGCTAATACATGATAGACACAGACATGGCTAAGCAGAATACGCAATGCATGCTGAACGCGTACTTCCCGTTCGCCAACGAAATAAAGGCCACTATTCAACTGTTTACCGCCCCAAAATCTCGGACATTTTATTTCCCGACGTATACATTTGCTGAAAGGAAAATCTTGCACTGATAAAGGTATTCCTTTAACGAAATGTGCATTAGAAAATTATCCATTCACGGTTTTAGATGCTTACACCATGGTATCAGTTTGCGGCCAACCTGGTGGCAACACCTAGTTTTCAACCAAATGCTTACCTTCCTTAATAGTTTATCAGAACGCCTGATCACGCAATAGAACCACAGTTTTGAGGCGGTAAGTATCGCTCAACGCATGTTTCTTTGGCGGCGATTTGCATAATACCAATAACAGGGGAAAAAGGCGGTTTGAAAAAAAACATGAAATGTCATAGTCATGGATCAGCCGCAGTAAGATCCTCCCATTGAATTAGATCCTGCAGCGAGAAAAATTCCGCCTGTAAAGGGGCTTTCACTGATGCAGGCGCCTGGGCTTACAACAGTCATAAGGTACAAACCAAAGGCGAATGATTCTCTGGCGTGAAGCACCCACACGTGGTTTTTTTTTTTTTTTTTTTTTTTATTTTTTTGTGTGTTCGAGCGTATCCAGATAGTGTGAATGAGTAAAAACAGTAGCCAAGAGACTTACACTTAAAAAAAACAATAACATCACAACGCCTGCGGTCACGGAAATGCACCCATTTCGAAGTTTGTCTGGTGTGTCCTTTTTGTGTCGTTCACTCGTAAGATGAGGCAACGAATCGACGCGGCGAGTTTGCCGCTGAAATAGCTCTCTTTTCCGCTCTCAGTGAGCCTCTTCATTCGTCCACTTCAAGTCGCATTTCAATTCATCGACCACCAGACCACATTTACTCGCGACAAAGTCACTGCCGCCCGTGCATCGGCGGCGAATAACTCGCCCTTGAGATTACGAGCGGGAGCCAACATTATGTCCAACTATGACGTCACAGACCGTTGTTTATCACCGTTCCTACACAGGCCTAGATTCATTGTGCATTCAAGTCGCAGCCCTTTCAAGGAGGTGTGCCGTCTGTGAAAAAGAACCATTCCCCAATAGAGACACTAACGCATTGGTCTTTTCATAAATTAGCACAGATGATATTGAAACCTAGCAAGAGATAAGAAAAGAACGCCAAAGACGACACCCTGTTTCAATAACAGTTCAAATTGCCATACTCTTTTGAAACATACCACTGAAACACTTTCCTCCTCGTACAGCCCCTTTCTCGAAATCTTTGCAAAAATTCTATTTTGAAAAATACTTGGTCACTACGAATTGGACGCCAAACATGGGTGGCGCAAGGGTGGTTGATGACCCCTCAGGCTTGTATTGCTTCTTTCAACAAAAGCACTATGCAAATTAAAAGCGCCTGACACCCTGTCCAATACCCCCATTGCTTATCATGTCATAAAATCTTGCACCGGGTGACTAAATCGTTACGGTCGTTCGCCCGAGAATAAGCCATTACCCGAAAGGAAGCAACGCAATTGGCTATTACAGTATGTATGCCATCAGACCATAACGCAGACAATCAATGGGTACCAATTAGAATGTGACACCTGAATCCTGACAAGTCAGGCATTGCGGCGCCTTAAAAAAAAAATCTCAACGTCAAAAATTCCATTAGAACCTCTAATTGGCAAAATTGAGGCTCTACAGCTCCAACACGATATAGCAGGATCAATCGCTTTTTTCTAAGACATTTACCGAAACCCAATTGCAAGATTCAAGCCAAAAAACCATCCTAAAATTTGAACAGGTGCTCGGTCAAGAACCACACTATTCACAGTGACCATGGAAACTGTGCGTTCTATAACGTCACTTCCAGGTACTGTGAAATTAAAACACGGCTATAATTTGATGATACACGACTGTTAGGCGAAGTGGCGTTGTCAGAAATTTCCCAAAAAAATTTTAATACCTCGTTACACTGGAACCGAAAAGTCTTCGTTGAACAGTAGAATGGGAACTGAAGCACGCAACAATCTCAGAGTGGGATTTATTCACATTCTTCAAAATTAAGGTAAAAGATTTCACTAATGGACCACTGCTTGCTGGGTTTGTTTCCACTCAAAAGCCTTAAAGGAGCGCTGAAGGCCCTTGGATGAGTTCCAATGTTCTCTCGACGCCTTGGTAGTGTGCACACTTTCAGTATGCACCAAACAATCCTCAAGAGCTCCAGGCGGAGGAAGTCCTCGCGTGGCCGGGAAAATACGCAACTAGTTGCCACGCGTCATAATTCCCTTCAGCACACGCGCATCCCGGCCGATTATTTGAGGCTTTGAAACCAACAAAGCCGAAGCGAAGCAATCAACCCATCACGCCTTCGGGCGACACACAAAAACCGTTGACGAAATGATAACGTCATTTGACGGAGCAAACCCGGCACATCGGCCTCACGTATTCCCCCGGGAGTCCGAGGATTCCGATATATTGGCCACTCAGTTGGCTTTTCGCATTCTCATCTGCATGCAAGGTGGGCAGAATGTATTCAATCACAACCCGTCAGGAGTTCCGGAAAGGTCACACTATGGATAACGAGGCATGCACAAGCAACAAAAAAAACGACTATCTCATAAATAATAAGACCAAAATAACAAACAGTAATACACTCAGCTTTCCACATACTGCTCGAACGAGTCGCGTGGTCGAGATATTTTCATCCATGGTAGTAACGGAGTGGACTGTCAGCACATCTGGAGAGAAATCGAAGTTTATTTCGACAAGAAGTTGGTTTGGGAAACCGGATAGCAATAGAATACAGAAACACGAAGGAATGACAAGAAAAAAAATTGAAGGACACGTCGTTTTAGAAAAAAATATGGCCGCGTCACGAACCAAGAAGGAAACGACAGAAAGCTTCTTGGCGTGATTACGCGTCTCAGCTGACGGTAGAGTTCAACGAGACCAGAATGGAGAGGACAGAGCCCAACGAAGGTCCGAAAAATGACCCAGAAAATCACACAGAAGTGTGGCAAGCGCCACAATGATGGAATCCGTGCGCAGAGAAACAAGATTCAAAAGGGAAAGGGGAGTTGATGGAAGGCAAAGCGCCCGACCATACCACCGTGCCTTCGGGGGTCAAGCGAACCGCGGGCGCAACACGCGACGCGGGACTCCCTTGCCACTAGCCTCATTCGTGCGCTTTCAGCGGGGTTTTTTGCGACTCCAGGCGCCCAGCAGCAAAGTGCGCTAGTGGCAGTACGTACATTAGCGGATCGGACTCAATATGGCTGCTCCGTAGCAATGGCCGTCGCAGGTATCAGGCCAACAAGGGTCAGTGATCGCAGACAGTCCATAAATAAACAACCAGCGGTGTGTGAAACGGGAAGCTATTTCGCAAGAAGCGCAGTGACACCAGCGTTCGAGGCCAATTTATCAATCACCGAGAACATGCCTCCAGAAATCCTCGGTGTCGCTGTTGCTCCGTTCAGTAAATTTTGTTTCTCCTTCAATGAGAGTTGATTATTCCAACCGGAATGGGAAATCATTTTTTGAGCCATTTTTTTTCCGCTAATGGTCGCCCATAGTGTAAGTATAGTAGTTTTGCAGTAATATTCAGGCTTTTCTGAATGACTTCAACCCAAAACTATTTTTCCGAAAAAATGCGTTGAAAAGTTCGGCATGGAACCAGAACATTTTGGTTGGACGTTATTTCCAAATCCAGCTTTTCGCCTGTGGAATGTCGAGGGTGCATTCAGCATTCCACAGCAAAAGGTTTATCTTTGAGAGAGTTCACTAAATTCAGTTTTTCCCAATAGAATCACCAAGTCCCCGAACCACTATTTTCTTTGAAACACGCATTTTCCTTCGCAGTATAACCAGTATGTAACATAAAAATAAAGAATGTTGCCATAATTAATCAATCATACACATAAGCTAATATTGAATTATATTCCAACACATATGTTTCAGGTGAAGGCATATCCAAAAACGCCAATGTGTTGCCTCGTAGTCACCATATCATATCACAAAATAGAGAAAGTTGACGGGATTGCATGAACGCCGGAGTAAATATCAACAAGCAAGTTAAACTAACTAAATGAGAAAGTACAAAGACTGCCCATCAAAGATTAGTACGTAAGATAGATAAGTAAAAGGAACTGACGAATCGCGTAGAAAAGACGCAAGAAATGCTGAGAAGATCAAGAAGTTGAAGTAATAAGAGAATCAACAGGATGGAGAAACGTGACTGAGAAAAAAAAGAATGTCTAAGCGTCAAGAGAAGAAATAAACGGACGTGAGGAGATGTCAGCCGACACCACGAATATTAAACCCTCCAGGACCAAGGACGAAAGTACACAAATTGGAAAGGGAGTAAGCACAGATCGATTCCGAGCACCAATCATCAAAATTCTTGGAAAGATACGACGACGGGTACCGAGATCGTTGCGTATAAAGTAAACCACAATAGCTCATTGGTCGACAAAAAGTTTCATAAATATGGCACTCAGCGAAACTGGAACGACATGCATCATTTAACTGGCACAATTCATACTAATGAAAACTTTAACAATTCCACGTAACTTAGACATCGTAATATCCAATAAACATTCAGAAGACATATAAAGAAAGACAACGCTGAATGTGCATCCCCAGAAAGCCGCACCATCTAAAGAAGAATCAAGCAGATCGTTACAGACAAGACACCACCAACATCTGGAAAAGATCAGACACGTTAGTCTCCGTATCCAATTAAGAAAGCGAACTATTTGAATGATTGAGCACGAAACAAAGGGGGCCTTTTATGAAACGGCCAGTGGAGTAAAATCTGGTCGCAGACCGGAATCATAAAACGACAAGAGTTTGCCGCAACAGTACAAACGGAGCATTCATTTCCTCGTCTACCGAACTGCCACGAACTATCGATCACCATCGTAACGATTTCAGAATCTCCTTCCCTCCCACTTCCTGAGTTGTTCTGCGACCCTCTCGTACAACGAAAAAAAGCTTCTTGTTTTCTGTTAACAATTAGAAGTGATTTCAGAAAATTTACAGGTTCCAAAACAAAAAGTTGTACTTATCGCAGAAAAATAGAAATTACTTCTGCGCGTAATCAACCTAGGAAAGACGAAAGGTCGACCATTCCCTTTTTCAAGATGCGCCCACGTATCTACTTGCATGCGAATCGTCAGTGGTGATGAATTCGAACGCTAGGGGCTCACAAAATGAAATTATTTTAGGTCTAATCTGATGCACCAATTCATTTGGTTTGCTCCCCGTTTTCTTTTTTTTTTTACCCACCAAACGAGTCTGGTCCCAAACCTATCCCTGATGAGATGAAGGCATCTCTTGGCTTAGAAGGCATTACATATTGGCTTTGACTCCCAGATCGTGCCATCCGTGCAGAATATCAAGCCGAGAATTAATTAGATGAGACAATAACCCATGAACTTATTTTAGCATTGACGCTATCAAAGCAAACAACCTTCAGTGCTTGGTGCGAAATGGCATCATCTATGCACGAAAGTCGATCGGACCTTTACGTTTCCCTACATGCCTCGGTACAATTCGGCAGCAATACGGTTGATACTGAAGAACTCACAACAGCTAAACAGCTTGAGAGAAGGCCTTCTGTTTCCACAAGCTGGCAAATATAATCTGTGAGCTGCTAACCACGCGAGCTGAATAATCTGTGAAAGATCTATCTTTGTGAAGGGAATGATATCATATCTGCCAGATATGCAGGTTTTAGTTTCGAGCGATCCTCTCTTGTGGG